TGAGATCTTCACAGCCCTAGAAGGTATCCAAAGAGTAAGGGAGTTGAGCATCAGATGTTTGGTTCTTGAAGGTGACTCGGAGGTGGTGATTAGGTGGCTAAAGGGGGGAGGCAGTGGATTATGAAGTTATAACAATGACAAGAATAAATTTAATTGGCTGAGTAGGGATATTGTGGTTCATTACAACTTGGTGAAAAAGACTACTAATTCTTTTGCTGATGGGTTAACAAAGCAAGGGGTGGATAAGGTTTCGACTTTTTGGGCTAATTTTTTAATTTTCCTTATATTCTTTGGTGGGGAGTTAAGTCTTTTTACCTCCCCTTTGTACCTAAGCTTCACATAGTTTCATATCTTTAATAAGGTTTCTTGTTATTGATTAAAAAAAACTACATCACCCCAAAATTGAACTGGAACAATAGATGTTATCATCATGTTCCTTGCAATCTCTACAATATGTCTGTTCTTTCTTTCTACTATACCATTTTGCTATGGAGTGTAAGAACAACTGCTCAAATGAATTACTCCATACTCTGATAGGTATGAAGCAAAGTTCTTTTTAAAATATTCATTGGCATTGTCTGAACTAAACACTTCCAATTGTACCCCAAATTGTGTTAGCACCATTTGATGAAATTGTCGAACCAAGGATGTCACCTCATTACGGGATCTCATCAAGTATATTCAAGAATACTAAGAAAAATCATCATCAAATAAAAGAAAGTATTGATAACCACCCATAGAAGGAACATGGTATGGTCCCCACACATCAATATGAATAACATTAAAGGCAGATGAACATCTTTTATTACTATATTTAAAGGAATGTCTACAATGTTTTCTAAGTTGACAACATTCACACTCTAAACTAGGCAAATTAAAAGACTTAAATAACTTTGGAAATAAGAAACACAAAGAAAGAAAAGAAAAATGATCCAACCGATTATGCCAAAGCATAATTTGACCCACAGACCCTGACTCAAAATTCCTACTGACAAGATGCCTCTAATGGCTACAAAGCACATCCAAAAGGTAGATTCCATTCACCTCACGACTACTCCCATTCGTCCTCTTTTTGAAACCAAATCCTACAAAACACAATGGCCAGGAGAGAAAATCACTAAGCAATTCAAATTCTTTGTCAAACTACTAACGGATAACATATCAGTACATAGTTTGGGAACATGGAGGACAGTGTGTAGGGAAATGGAATCAGTTATCTTGACAGACCTCTTCCTAGTAATGGGAACATGAGATCCATCAACTGTTGAAACTCTATCTCTACCAAAGTAGAGTTGGTAAGAGGAGAAAATGGTAGAAATATTGGTTATATGCTCTAAGGCTCCAAAACATATAATCTAAAGAGGTCCCTCCTTACCTATAGTAGAAACATAGTTTGTAGTGGCATGTGAAGTACATGTATGAGCAAAAGAAGTAGAATGTTCACCTCCTGATCCACCTGTACCTATCTGTCTACCTGATAATGGATTAGGTCTGATTGTATCTTGCTGATTAAGTAACTTCCCATACCTCTCTAGTTCGGCCCTCATTGCAACAGTTGTAACCGATTCCAAAGTAATTGTAGTAGGAGGTCCAGACAAGTCACTCGTTACTGCCATGTTTACATTTTCCTTCTTGTTTCTAAGTCTATTCGGCACAAGGTGAGGGTGAAGGTTCCAACAGATATCTCTCACGTGTTTAGGCTTCTTACAATAGTTACAGATCAGATCCTTCTTACCTTCCTTCCTGATTTCATTTCCACCCCTATCCCCGCTCTACTTAGGTTTCATTGTGCTAACCATAGTAGACTGCTCAAGACTTGGATTCCTCATCATCACATTCCTCCTACTCTCCTCTCCTGATACAAAGGCATATGCCTGAGAGAGAGTAACACTATCTCTAGAAAGGATATGCTGTCGTGCAATGCCATACTTGAGGTTAAGTCCAACAAGAAATTCAAAATCCCTATTCTTCTCTAAAAGCTTCTGATAGGTTGTTGCATCCTTGCTACTTTCCCAATTCACAGTCTCTAAATGGTCAAGCTCCTGCCACAAGGTTTTGAGGGTCAAAAAATAAACAACAATAGGTTTATCTCCTTGTCTGATAGCAATTACTTGGTTTCTCAACTAGTAGGCTCTAGCAATATTCTCACTCTATGAATAGGTTTCTACAACCACATCCCAAATCTCCTTATCTGTGTTAGCCCACAAAAAGTTTTTACTTATATGAGGTACCATAGAATTGCACAACCAAGTCATTACCATATAGTTCTCTTGTACCCATAAGGAATAGTTAGTCTCGGGTTTCACTTCCTCACTAGTAATATACCCCAACTTCCTACGAGCACCAATAGCCATCTTTGCAGATTGTGACCATTCTAAATAGTTTGTACCATCTAACTTAACTATAGTGGTGGTCCCAGCCCCGAAAAGGTCTCCAACACCTCCTCCCCCTTGTCCCATCTCACTCCTAGGTTTGTTTTTAACTCCGTAACCCTCCATTATTCCCAAAAAAAGGGTTAGAAAATCACTTTAAGATGAAAAAATAGGTATTTATCTCCTTTAGGCACCACAAACACCCTTCTGGTACCTTAGAAGCTCCTCCCTCCAAACATTCTTTTTTTGTGGGAGTAGGAGAATAGAGAGAAGAAGCAACTGCTCCCTCTAGAGGCCTCCAAAATAGGTGGGACTTGAACCGCCCCCTTTAGAAAACTTCAAGGAACCAAAAAAAAAAAAAAACTAGGGTGCCACTTCCTAGGTAAAAAATTAAGAGCCCTACAAAAACAAGACTCTCTCCCTTTCTCCAGTTCTTCCTGAATTTGGTGAAAAACCCTAGACCAGTTACAAGACAATGCAGATCCACAAAAAAAATCCAAAAACTAGGCTTACCTGAGGTCTTCGATTAGCCTCTCACCTCACCATGTAGTCAGTCGATCTAGGGCGACATGGTGGAGCAGCTCAAGTAACCTTATGATTGTTCTGATACCAAGTAGAAGTTGTGGATAATTGATTTTGATATAATATTTGTGAAGAAAAGAAGCAAAAGCTGAAAGGTTTCAACAAGAGAGAAAGAAAGAGAAGAGGAAGTAGAAGATAATGGGTGGTAACCAAAAAGAAATTAGTTCTGGCTGCCCCCTTCCTTTGATTTATATACTTTATAAAAGAATGAACAAGTACAGTAATACCCTTAGTAAGTCGGCTACTAGTAAATAGTTGAAAAGACATAACTTAAACTAACATAAGCTGATGGGCTTAAGGCCCAATAACTTCCTAACTAAATAACGTAAATAAAAATAAACAAAGTTGGGCCTAATAACTTAACATCGACCCAAACTCAACAAGAATTTTTTCCTCTTAACCATTTAGCTTTTATTGTTTGAACCCACGCATGTTTAGCAAGCAAGGCTAGGTTGAAATGGTGAGGGTCCCTAAACCCCATACCCCCATTTAGTTTGTTTCTACTTGAATTAGCCTAACTTACCCCATGGATTTTTCTTTTTATCCCCTTTACACCATAAAAAAAAACTCCTTTGGATTTTTTTGGAGTGTATCACACACTCCTTTTGGAAGCAAAAAGCATGACATGGTGTAAGATGGTATTGCAGCAATTACAACCTTTAATAGCACTTCCTTTCCTACCTGGGATAGGAATTTCTCCTGCCAACTAGTTGTTTTTGTCACTGCTCTTTCAATTAGATGGCTAAAAAGAGCCTTCTTAGTTTTGCCTGTTTTAGTTGGTAACCCCAGGTATATTGAAGGATGTTCCACCTAGACCTGTTCATGGGTTAGGTCAGGTTGGGCTTTGTATATGTATCAACAGAATACACTTACGCTCGAGCCCAAGCCCGGCCCGACCATCGGGCCTAAGTCTTGAGCCCGAGCTCAAGCCCGACCAGAAATTTGAAAACAAATTTTTTTCTTTTTTTATTCAATAAAAAAAGTGTTTTATTTATATTAAAAACCTTCAAAACTCAAAAATAATAAACATCTCACTATTACTTGGAAGAAAAGAGAAGAAGAGCAAAGAAAAAATATTGTATATATATTTTTTATTAAATAAAATATATTTTTATTATTTAATATATTGTATCAAGTTGGTCTTGGGCTCGGGCCGGGCTTTTTTTAGAAAGCCCGAGCTTGGCCCAAAAAAACGTTAGGCCCCATGCTTTAGGCTTGAGCTTGAGCCCGCGGGCCTAAAATTATGACCAAACCTGACTGGCTACCCTGCCCATGAACAGGTCTAGTTCCACCCTCTTCATTCCCATGGTCGAAGCAATCATTTTTCTGGAGTCTATGATGCAAGTTTTTACTAAAAAAAATATTTTAGACTTTTTTAGATTTACCTTTTGACTTGAAGCTTTTTCATAACATGTGATAGACTCTAGAAAGAATTGTCCCTCCCTTGGATTCGCCCTTGTGAACATATAATTGTCATTTGCAAAAAAACAAGTGAGGACACAAATCCAACATTTTCATCATGCTATACTTGGCCAAAAATCAATTTAGGGCCTATTTGGTTTGCAGGAATAGAGACCTGGAATTGGAATCAGAATGACCCATTCCCATTCCAATGGTTTGATTGGGCAAAATTAGTATCTCATTCTCATTCTTAGTGGATTCCCTGAGGGAATGGTCATTCTCTCCCCATCCTTTGGGAATGAAATCCCATTCCATGTTTATTTCCACAAATATAGTACGAGAATAGACCATTCTTATTCTGATTGTGATCCAAACGGACACTTGGTAATTTCATAATAACCGTCCAATTGGTAGATTGTTATTGTTATGAGTTGACCCATGTCATAATGATCCGCAAGAGTAACATGACTCAACAACTCATCACGCATATGTGAATTCATTCATTCAAGTGAGAGAGAGAGAGAGAGACGTGATTTGCTGGCACTGGATGAAAACTTTCTATTTTAAAAGGTTAACTAGCCGTTGTAACGAAGCCAACAACACCTTTAACGTTCAAAAATTTCGAAATCTGTCGCTTTGCGTTTGGTTGATGGAGAGAGCGTTTTAAATTAATTCCGACGCCTTTCATTCCCATCTCTTGCGCTCTTGTTCCTCTCGCGCTGTATTAGCTCCCTTGATCTTCTCCGAGGAAGAAGAAGACCCAGACTATCGTCGTCTTCTTCTTCTCCTATTGATTGCCGACTCTTTGATTTCTCAATCTCAATTTCTCTGTAAAGATGACAACCGAAACTCAGGGCTACAACAATGCCCCTGCTATCTCTACCGCGATCACGACCTCGAAGCAGTCTGTCCCTGTGGCCAAGAGCGTCGATACCCAGTCTGTTTTGAAGAGGTACATTAAATTCTCTAGATCCGTAATAAAGATGAACCACTTTATTCTCTTTATCGGGCTGTTTCTCATGTTATTTTTTGATCTTTATGGTCTCTTTAATTCTTTTTCCTGGATTGCTTTTATTTATTTCTCCGTTGGATTCGTGTTGAGATTAGGGCTTGTTCATATTGCGTTTCCTTGCTGATTGGATTTGAATTTCAGTCATGATTTTCTTCAACAACTTTTCTGATGTTGGTTTCTTCTGTTTCTGCTATTGCTTCATGGAAACAGGTTGCAGTCCGAACTGATGGCACTTATGGTAAGAACTAAGAGTCATGCTTTTTAGAGTTTCAAAACCCCGAAATCGTTTTTTCCCTGTAGACTTCAGAAATTTCAAGTAGTTCAATTTCCTCTTATGTTGGCTTTGACAATCTTGGTTCGTTCTTCTGTTCTCAGATGAGTGGAGATCCCGGTATATCTGCTTTTCCGGAGGAAGACAACATATTCTGTTGGAAGGGGACCATCTGTGGAAGCAAAGGTACAGTGTTCGAAGGAACAGAGTACAAGCTCTCCCTTTCCTTTCCGGCTGATTATCCATTCAAGCCTCCGAAGGTGAAATTCGATACCAGTTGCTTCCATCCCAATGTGGATGTCTATGGCAACATTTGCTTAGACATCCTTCAGGTACATATATTAGTTGCTTTTCCGCCTATTTTAAGGAACTGAATTGTTAAATTAGTTTCTTATTTTTAATCTAATCGTATCTAAGAGTCAACTTTCTTTTCCTGGAATTACAGGACAAATGGTCATCTGCATATGATGTGAGAACGATACTGCTATCAATCCAAAGTCTGCTTGGAGGTAATTTGTCCCATTTAGCTTGGATTTTAAGTTCTTAAAAGAATTAAAACTGGCCCATTTGAGTAAATCTTTATTTACTGATTTTTAAATTGCTCTGCTTTGTGGATTCAGAACCAAACACAAGCTCACCTCTGAATACCCAGGCAGCTGCGCTTTGGATCAATCAAGAAGGTTAGTGACTGTTATTAAGTTCAACATAAAGACATCAATTCATAAGTACAAATTATGGGCTTCCATTCCTTCTATATGGAAGAGTTCTAATAATATCTTTCTGATTTTGTCGTTGGTTGGTTTTACAGAATACAGAAAGATGGTGGAGAAACTATACAAACCTGCTGCTTAAAGAGTTCTGAGTTTTCAGTGATTTTTCTCAGTTGAGTGTACAAATATATTCTTTCTCTTCTCATTAGAGATTGTTTTTGTCATCACTCATCATTTATAAGGGGA